AGGATATTTTTCCCATTGAATTTTTTTAGAGAGAGTGGAAGGGAGGGAGGGAGGGGGGAGAGAGAGGGAGAGAAACACCGATGTGAGAGAGACACATCGATTGGTTGCCTCCACCACACACCCCTACAGGAGCCAGGGATCGAACCTGCAACTCAGGTAGGTGCCTTTGATCCTTGACCAGGAGTCCAGGCTGATGCGCTAACCACTGAGCACACTGGCCAGGGCCACTTTATTACTTACTGATCAGGAGCTGTTGGTCCCTGAGATCTTTTATTTTTAAAAAAATAAAATTTATTGAGGTATAATATACCAACAGTAAACTACCTAATTTAAAATATACCCTTTTATGAATTTTGATAGGTATATTGAAACCACCTTGAAACCACCACAATAATCAAGATAAAGAACATTTCCATTACCACCAACTGTGTCAATTACTCCTTTATAATCTAGTCCTTCCTCTAGATAGGCAAATGCTACAGAGTTCTGTCACTATGGATTAGTTTGCATTAAGTCTAGACTGATACCAGGTGTAGGTCCTCTGACCTTGTCTTTGTAGAATAATTGTTTTGGCTAGATTATTTGCCTTCCAATATAAATTTTTGAACTAGCCTGACAATTTGCATACATACAAAATATACCTGCTGGAATTTTGTGGAGATTAAGTTGAATAAGTAGATTACTATGGAAGAATTACTATTCTAGCAAAATTATTTTTCATCTAATTCATATGACAGAATTCTCTATTTAGGCCTTTGACTTCCCTTAGAAATGTTTTATAGTTTTCAGTGTACAATTACTGCACATATTAAAGTCATCTGTAAGTAATTCATGCTTTTGGATGCTGTTGGAAATGGAATTGTAATTTTTATTTCATTTTCCAATTGTTTATTGCTAATACATAGAAATGCTACTCTATTTTTGTATATCGACTTTGAATAGGTCTTGCTAAATTCACTTTACTAGTTCTAGGAACTTTTTTTCTGTATTCTTAATGATTTTACAGTACATATATTTTCTGCAAACAGAGTTGTACTTCATCCATCCATCCATCCATCCATCCATCCATCCATCCATCCATCCATCCATCCATCCACCTATTTGTCTTTTCGCTTGCCGGGCCTGCAGCAGAACCTTGAGGAGTAGCAGAGGGCCAGGCATCCTTGTCTTGTTGTTGATCCTGGGAGAAAAGCAGTCTTCCACCACCAAGTAATGTTATCTGTGGGCTTTTCGTAGATGTTCTCAAACCAGTTGAGGATGCTTCCTATCTCCCTTTGAGGTTCCCCATCGATCTTCACAACTTGCGTGGACTCCTATTTCTTCTCCGGAGAAATTGCGCTCATTAGTTCTCCAGTTATTTGCAATATGGGTACAAACAGCTGGGGCTCATGTGCCCAGCTCAGAAACACGGTCCACACGTACTTGGAGGAAAGCATGCGAACAGTGTTCGCAGAAGAAATGCCCCGTATTTACTATAAGTATTCTCAGCAGAAAAATGTCAGGAGAGCTTATCAGAGGCCCAGGTGGAAGGAGCGCTTTCAAACTCAGCTCACGGGCTCCCGCACGTTACCACCATTCCTTTGAAACAACTGTCACAATTTCTCTTTGCAGTTCCGCGTGTAATCATTTATTAACGCCTGCCCCCTAACGTCGAGGCCGCGGCCGGCGGCTGGGAGCTCCGCGGAGCGGGGACCCCGGTGTTCGTCCGCGCCCGTCGCCGGCTACACCCATCTGGGCGCAGCGAGCCTAGCCCGGCGCCTGGCGCGCACGCGGTCAGCGAACGGATGAGTGACGGGCGGAGCGGGAGAGG